CCGGTCAAAAACCGGCTGAAAAGAGTTATTTAACTTGGTGGTGGTTGGCCAGAGATTGGAGGAGAAGCTTGCAGTGGAGAGGAAGAAAAAAGACAGAAAAAACAGAAGAAAATTGTGGAGAAATCGCAGAATGGGGGGGAAGGGCGAAACGAAGGGAAGAAGGCTGTGCGCAGCCTTATTCATATCGATCCCGGTCCGAAAAAATGTTAGTGGGACCCAGCGTCCAATCAATTCAGAGATTTCCTTATACAGATCGATCCCGGTCCGTATATTTTCATTAAAAATAATAATTAATTCTTAATTTTTGTCATTTAATCTTCATTTTTCACGAAAAATAATAAATATACGGACCGAAACCGGTCCGAATATAAAAATGAAATTTTGTATTCTCTAATGGATATATACAGACCGAAGACGGTCCGTATATATTTATTTAAATAATATTTTATTCATATTTTTTGGTATTTAATATTTATTTTTTTCAGAAATACTATTCGGACCGAAAACGGTCCGAATATTATTGGCGCGCCTACAATGTGGATCCCGCCATAAATATAGGGACCGATACCGGTCCGAATATGTTCATTAAGTATATTTTCTCCCCCTGACTATATTCAGACCAATATTGGTTCGAATATATTTTTTTTCGGACCGACAATATTTGGTCCGTATATGGTCGGTCTGTATACATCATTTTTCTAGTAGTGTTAAAACAATATTTTTTTATAATTTAAGAAAGAAAAGTATATTTTTTAAGGACTATTTTAAAAATACACATCTCACATTGAACTAGTGCATTTAAAGAAATTTATGTTTGCATATTATATATGAACTAAAGTATATGTTTTGCAATATGTTTAATTATATTTTAATTTGTATTAAAAGGTTATAATATTTAATAAATATATGTATAACTGTAAGTATACATGTACTTAATAAGTTGAATAATAAGAATAGACTTTTAATACTTGAATAAATAGTGAGTATTAAAATTTTATATTTATTAATTTTCAATTTTAATATAAATATAGACAAATGCTTCACCCCTATACTTACTTAGCTCATTTATGCACATAAATAGAATCACAAATTATAAGTTCACTTTATATCACCTAAAACTTACAGTTAAAGAATATTAATAGGCATTATGAATTTGTTTTTCTAAATTGGAGAAAAGAATAACATAAGAATATATATTAAATGCCAAACCGTTAGGCTTTAACGGTAAAATGTGACAGTGTTAGCTAGGAATGGATGGAGGGACGAAATTGAAGACCTTTTGAATAGTAGAGGGAAGACATGTGAGTTCAAAATGAAGTAGAGGGACAACTTGAGGTGATTACATAGTAGAAGGGTTAAATTGAATTTTTTCACAAAGTAGAGGACGATATTTGGCTTTAACCCTTTCACAAAGGATACCGTTGCCTATTCGAAACCCAACGGCAACAACAAACCTCCCAAAATTTGTCTCAATAGTTGGTCGGCCCGTTGGACGGTTCATCGGTTCTTATCGATTTGGATGAGTTGAACAGTTTTAAACGATTTAATCACTTAAATGGTTTTAAATATGAACTTGATCCGTTTCTACTATTAGTATTGGTTCGACCAATTCAACCAATCGATCTAGTCCGATTTTCAAAACAATGCTCATATCCGTCTCCATTTGCATTCCAGGTAAAACCAACTTTTAGTCCCTTACCTTACAAAATTGGTAGGTTTTAGCTCCTAACTTTATAATATGACACTTTTAGCCCTTAATCTTACAAAGTTGATAGATTTTAATCCATCACCTTACAAAGTTGATAGGTTTTAACCCCTCACCTTATATTATGACACTTTTAACCCCTTATCTATACGAATTGAAGAAAATAGCCCCTATTTAACATTAGGTTATAATGTTCTATTAGTTTTGTTAACTGACTATCAGTTCTGTTAGCTGACTGTTGTTCTGTTAACTGATTATTAACATCCATTAGCATTCCGTTAATAGAACTAACAATAAAATTGAATTTAAATTTCATATTTTTTATAATGAAATGCTAACAGATGTTAATAGTCAACTAACAGAACTAACAAAACGTTATAACCTGATGTTAGATGAGAGTTATTTTTTTTAATTCGTATCGATGAGGGGCTAAAAATATCATAATATAAGGTAAGGGGTTAAAACATACTAACTTTGTAATGTGAGGGGTTAAAACTTACAAACTTTGTAAGATAAAAGGTTAAAACTATCATATTATAAAGTAAGGGACTAAAACCTACTAATTTTGTAAGATAAATGGCTAATGTTGATTTTTGCCCCGCATCCTATCTCCATCACTCTCTTCCCAAAGCAGTCTTTTGATCTTGCACCCATGATAATTGGAAGGCCAAATCCTAGACTTTAATCCAACACCACCCTTTCTATTTTACCTTTAATACATTCCTCTCTTGAACAATCATTTTCTCCCCCACAAGATTTTCAGTCTTCTGATCCATATCTTCATATTAAGCTTAGATTTTACAGTAGTTTTTTTTTTCTTTGCAGGTGAGAATCAGTAAAGGAGGATAATGAGAAGTAATATTATGAAATTTTCCTAATTTTCATGGGAGTAATCATAAAAAAGGAGAGGAATTGAAAAGTGTTGTAATTTGTATTGAGGGTTTCCAGAAATATGAAGAGGAGCGAGGAGGAAGGGGAAAGGAGGAAAGAGGAAGAAGATGATTATGAGGGCATTGATGTAATTTGCGTATTGTATCGTACTACTATATATATTCATATTAATTTAATAATAATACAGTTATCGGTTCGCAGCTAAGCGCCTAAGCCCTTAAAATCATCAGTAACAGAGGAGCGATTGTTGAGGGGTCAGCGTTGGAGCGAGTGCTTCTAGCACTGCTCCCGTAATAAATCTAGCTTAGGAGGACTGCTACGTGCAGTGGCCTTTTTCCTGCACTCTCTGACACTCTCTCACATAAAATGGTTACATAATAAGAGCATGTTTGGTGTAGTTTATGGGATTTTCAGTTTTTGGATACTATTTATGTCTCATGAATTTAAATTTTCTTTTTAAAAATTTATACTTTTAAATATTTTTTTACCTCAAAAAGCTCTTAAACAGTAAAAGTTCAAAAGTTTTAAATCCAAACTTTTTATAAACTCTCTTTTACTTACTTTTCACTCCCTTTTTCACCTTCCTAAAAGCTAAAACTTTATTTTTCCTCCAATAAAAATTTAAATTTATCACTTATAACAGTACTCAAAAAGTTAAAACTCTCACAAACCATACCAAACATGCTTTAAATTTTAGTTCGCAATTCAAAGTTCTCAGCAAAAAAATTCACGTAGTTATTTTTACATGAAAAAGTATTAAGATTGTGCAGAAAAAGGCCACTGCATTTAGCAGTCTTTAGCTTAGACACTGACACGGCGCAATGATATATGTCCAAAGAATCTTTTTGACTTTCTAATCGAGAGTGGGTTAGCTGGCCTGCACAAACTATTTACAAAATAATGGAGCAGCAGATCATTAACTTGCTTGCAACTTTGAAACCAGATCCATGACCATCCTTTTCCTTCGATTTCAATTTTAACCAATCTGTTGGTTCCTATTTTTCCAAGAATGGCAGATGCGCTTGTTTCCGATATCTTGGGGCAGCTAGCAACAATCATCTCCAAAGAGGCAGAACGAGAGGTTAAACTGGTCACTGATGTTGAGAAAGAAATCAACAAGCTCAGCAGCAATCTTGAGTCCATCCAGACTTTGCTTCAGGATGTTGAGGAAAGGCAGATCAAGGATAGAAGCATCCGGAATTGGTTGACCAAGCTTAAAGACGTATGTTATGACATGGAAGATGTGTTAGATGAGTGGAACACTGCTCTTTTAAAGTTCGAAATTGATGAAGCAGATCTGGAAAACTTTGATCTTTGCAAGGTATGTTGTCCCTTCATCCCATGTTTTTCTTTTGGTCGTCAAGTTGTTCATCGTCGTGACATTGCTCTTAAAATAAAAGAAATCAATGAAAGATTAGATGTGATTGCAAAGGAGAAAGATAGGTATCAATTGGCACCAAGGAATTGGCACCAAGGGTGGAATCAAGGGATCTTAGACTTGTTAGAAGATCAGAAAGTACAGCTTTTGCTGAGCTGTCAAAGTTGCATGGTCGAGATGAGATTAAGAAAGACATAATAAAGAGTTTGCTGGGTGGTAGCAGTGATGAAATACAGAGTGATATTAAGACGCATGGGTGGGGTTGGAAAAACTGCTCTTGCCCAACTCATTTACAATGATCATGCAATTGAGACCCATTTTGACAGGAGAATATAGGTTTCTATATCAGAAAATTTTGATGAAAGAAGAGTTGCAGAAGAAATTATTGTAGCTCTTGATTAAAACCTTTTAAGAGATGATCTCAGTAAGCTTTCATTGCAAATGCTTCTAGAAACAATGTGCAAATCTATTAAGGGCAAGAAGGTTTTTCTTGTTCTGGATGATTTGTGGACAGATGAAAGCAAAAGATTGGAACAACTAAATCAAGGTTTCAAACCTGCTGCATCTGGAAGTAGGATTTTGGTGACAACTAGGAATGATACAGTTGCGATATCATGACCATGAACTCCGTCCGTAAATTTCCTCCAGAACAGCTGAGTGACAGTGTATGTTGGAAGATAATTAGCCAAGAAGCATTTGTTGGAAGGGATGAGGAACAATGTAAAAGTTTAGAGGACATTGGAAAGAGGATTACAGAAAGATGTAGTGGATTGCCACTGGTTGCAAAGACTCTAAGAGGCATGTTGCGGTTCAAGAAGACAAGCGATGACTGGAAAAATATCTTGAACAGTGAGATATGGCAGTTAGATTTGGTAGAAAATGAAGTATATGTTCCTTTACTGTTGAGTTTCTTTGATTTGCCCTCAGCAGTAAGACGATGCTTTTTGTATTGTTCTATCTTTCCTAAAGATTTTTCTATTGAAAGGGAGGACGTGATTTATTAGTGGATGGCACAAGGTTGTTTAAGTTCTGATGAGAATGCGGAGGTGGAAATTACAGGAGATGAGTACTTTGATTGCTTGGTGGAACGGTCCTTCTTTCAAGATGTTCTAAGATTAAATGGTATCACATTGGGAGGCAAGATCCATGACATAACAGTTGACTTTGCCAGATTTTTTATGGGAAATGAATTTGTGTCCAAAGATCTCCATTCTGTTGTGAAGCTTTCTTTAGAGAAAACGCGCCATCTATTGGTAAGGCAGATGTCTGGGACAAGTTTTCCTATGCTTCTTGGCGCAGAAAACTTACGGAGCCTGACCATCTTCGACATTCACGAAAAAGAAAACCAGTCAACGGAGCCTGATCATCTCCGACATTCATGAAAAAGAAACCACTCAAGCTTTGTGCAAATTATTTATTGAACCAAAACGTGTGCGTTCATTGAATTCCCATAGGGGTCGTGTTATTGGTGGATTGCCAAAAGAAGTAGGCAAATTGCTGCACCTTAGATCGCTTGTCTGACAGTATGTTCCTAAGTTTGCCTGAAGCAGTATGCGAATTATGTAATTTGCAATCTTTACTTAGGCCGTACTGTAAACTTCTACGGGAATAAGATGGAGAAGTTGGTAAACTTAAGGCATCTTGATACGACTGGCTGCTCGAGTTTGACTTTCTTTCCCAGAGGAATTGGAATATTAACTTGCCTTGGGGATTTACGGGGGATTAAAGTTGGACTTCATCACATAACCAACAACGCATTTAGATTGGGGGATTTAGAAAACTTGTGTCAGCTTCGTGTTTTGGTGATGAAAATATTTGGAAGTAAGATTGACGCTAATGAAGCCAGACAGGCGAAGCTGCAAAGTAAGAATCATCTAAAAAATTTGGAGCTAATTCTTGACCCTATCCAGCATGGAGATAATTTTATTGAAGTCTTGAACCCACCTTCACACACAAAAGTGAGAGAGACATTCCAAGAAAGAAGAGAGACGCTGGAGAAGATTCGTAAGCACTTGATCCGTTGTTTCTTTTATTAGTTTAAAATGTTAAGATAGAAGGAAAGGATATGGGACTGTTTGGTAGAAGTTGCTTTTAAGCTCTGCTAAACAGCCTATTTTCTTAAAAAAATTTTAGGTTAAAATCTCATTTTAGTCCCTCAACTATTGTACGAACCCTCGATTTAATACCTGAACTGAAAAAATCCTTGATTTAGTCTCTATTGTTTATCATTTTAACCACAACTTCATTCTTCCATTAAAAATCGACTTACATGTCCCATTACCTAATGGAAAAAGATGACAGCATGGCAAAAAAAACAATGACATGACAAAAAAAACAATGACATGGCAAGAAAAAACCTTAAAATATTTCCTTTTCCTTTTTTTTTTTTTCTTCCTTTGATTTTCCTTTTTTCCCTTTCATCTTCTTCTTCCTTTCCTTTCACCTTCTGCAAACCCTAACACCTTATAATATTAAATCAACAAATAACACAAAACTAGAATCTCCTCAGACCAATCACTGGCCCTAAATTCTTTCTCTCAACCTCCCCAAAAAACCCAGAAAAATCAAGGCATCTTTTCCCAAAATTCTAAAAAAGAAAAAAAAAAAAAAACAACTAAAGCATTTTTAAGTCTTTTGAACCTAGTAGATCTACTGGGTTCCATCGAACCCACCTAGCAAATCTCTGAGTTCGACCTCTGTATTCTAATAAGAAAGTCTCCAATCATAAGTAGCCATATGCAGATTTTTTCCCTCATAACCAAATTTTGTCAAATTCTCAATGAGAACAGCCCACACAAACAAAATATTCATTAGCAAATAATCAGTTGCAACTCAAAAATATCCTTAAAATTCAAGCTTCTAAGCATAAATATTAAAAAAAAAAATCGAACCCAGCAAATCGCTAGGTTCGATAATCATAAGCAACCATATGCAAATTTTTTCCCTCATAACCAAAATTTGCCAAATTCTCAATGAGAACAACCCACACAAACAAAATAGTCATTAGCAAAATAATCAGCCGCAACCCAAAAATATCCCTAAAATTCAAGCTTCTAAACATAAATATTAAAAAAAAAAATCGAACCTAGCATATTGTTGGGTTCTCAAGAACCTAGCAAATCTGTTAGGTTTCGAAGAGGAGATGGGAGATGATGAAAGGAAAGAGATGATGAGGAGATGAGAAAATGAGAGGATTAAAACCCAAGCCGACAAACAAGGATCCCGAGGAACAAGATGAACAACAAAAGAGGTTGGAGATGAAAAGTAAGGAGTAATGAAAGGAGGAAGGAAAGAAAGTGATGTGTGGTTGAAGATGAGGGTAAAAACATAATTTTATCTTTATAATTTAACCTTTAATAATTTTATCTTTATA